TGTGAGAGGCTTAAACACCAAATCGGATAAAACATATATATGGGAGCTATAGCTGTTTCTGAACCGATTTTCTCCAAATTTGTTGTATTTGCTTTAAGGCTAATCTCGGTCACATGTGCCAAAATTCGGGCCATTTGGGCTGATATTGGCCATTTGGTGGTCAATTAACCCGAAATCGGATGAAGATATATATGGGAGCTATATCCAAATCTGAACCGATTTCGATAAAATTTAAAACAGCTATTTCTGTGCTCCATCTAATACCTGGTACCAAATATCACGGTTGTGGAGTGCATAGTAGGAATGTTAGGGACTTAAAGATCAAATCGGATGAAAGATATATATGGGAGCTATAGCTATATCTCAACCGATTTTCTCCAAATTTGATATACTTGCTTCTAGGCCGAACTCGGTTGGGTGTGCCAAAATTCAGGTAATTTGGACTGATAGTGGACATTTGGTGCTCATTTAACCCGAAATCGGATGAAGATATATATGGGAGCTATATCTAAATTTGATCCGATTCTCACCAATTTCAATAGGGTTCGTCCTTGGGCCAAAAAAAGATTGTTTGGAAAATTTCATCTCAATCGGATAATAAATGCGACCTGCATTTTGTTCACAAGAATACATGGACAGACGGACGGACGGACAGACGGACGGACATGCATAAATCGACTCAGAAAGTGATTCTATGAAGGTTCTCAAAAGTAACTATGGGTCTATCTCGTTTCCTTCTCCATGTTACAAACAAATGCACAAAGACATAATACCCTTACCACTATGTGGTGTAGGGTATAAAAAAAATAATAAAACAAGCTGCTCTTGCAGAGAGTCAGAAAAGACTGAGTTGTTTTTGTTGTTATTTTATTTTTTTATAATTTTTTGTATGTTCATTTAATAGTATTTACGCCTAGCATGGCAAAAAAAAACCCAGTCGAAAGTTTTAAATGCATTTTTTTCAAGTGCTTGCCGGATTGCAAGTGTATGCGATTTTTGTCGAACTTCTAGGGTAAACCATGTTAATGTTGGCCCATCACCCATGGCTTTTTTACAAAAAAGTTAATGTTGTTTGTTGGAAACAAAAACTTTGGTCATGAATAGGAGTTCAAAAACAACTGCAACAACAACAACAAATATGTGTAATAATTCCCTTTGAGCGGGGGGTGAAAAAATTACATTTTCTGATAGTGATTTCATGGCAATTATCCTTTGACCAATAAAAGCTTTTGAGAAAAAACAAGAATGAATCGTATGTTGAGAAAGTTGTAATAAAATCAATGAAGTGTTTGAAAGGAATTGGGGTGTGTCATGTGGAGTGCTTTTTGAATGGGGGTATTTACGTCATATACACCAAGAACTATTTTTGCAAATAGCCTTGGACTTACCACAAACCACATGTGCTTAAAATCATAAATTATGAAAGCCAACCAAAGCAATGAACAACTTTTTTAAAATTTGATATTAAAATACTCACAGATGTCTTTAAGAGTATAATATTGTATGCCTAAAAATATATGATAGAAACCCACACTTACGGACCTAAAAAATGACTTGAAATTATTCTTAAGATCCTTGAAAATATTTAAAAAATACTCGCTTATTAAGCTCCTGACCTGTTTAGATATATTCTTATAAAACTGCGCTTTTAATATTTCTTAAAAAAACACAAATTTAATAAAGGCCTTGGAATTATTCTTTAGAAATACAGGTTTGAAGACCTCATTGAGGCCTTGAGCATAATTTTTTGAAATACACGTTTGTAGACCTCATTGAGGCCTTGGAAATATTTTTTTGAAATACACGTTTGTAGGCCTCACTGATGCCTTGAAAATATTCTTTAGAAATACACGTTTGTAGACCTCATGTAGGCCTTCGAAATATTCTTTAGAAATACGCGTTTGTAGACCTCATTAGGGCCTTGGAAATATTCTTTATGAATACACGTTTGTAGATCTCATTGGGGCCTTGGAAATATTCTTCAGGAATATACGTTTCTAGACCTCATTGATGCCTTGGAAATATTTTTTAGAAATACACGTTTTTAGGCCTCACTGGTGGCTTTAAAATATTCCTTAGAAATAAACGTTTGTAGACCTCATGGAGGCCTTGAAAATATTCTTTAGGAATACACGTTTGTAGACCTCATTGAGGCCTTGAAAATATTCTTCAGGAATACACGTTTGTAGACCTCATTGAGGCCTTGGAAATATTTTTTTGAAATACGCGTTTGTAGACCTCATTAGAGCCTTGAAAATATTTTTTTTGAAATACACGTTTGTAGACCTCATGGAGGCCTACGAAATATTCTTTAGAAATAAACGTTTTTAGGCCTCACTTATGCCTTGAAAATATTCTTCAGGAATATACGTTTCTAGACCTCATTGAGGCCTTGGAAACATTTTTTAGAAATACACGTTTGTAGGCCTCGCTGGTGGCTTTAAAATATTCCTTAGAAATAAACGTTTGTAGACCTCATTGAAAATATTCTTTAGATTGTAGACCTCATTGATGCCTTGAAAATATTCTTTAGAAATACACGTTTGTAGACCTCATGGAGGCCTTCGAAATATTCTTTAGAAATACGCGTGTGTAGACCTCATTAGGGCCTTGGAAATATTCTTTAGAAATACACGTTTGTAGGCCTCACTGATGCCTTGAAAATATTCTTTAGGAATACACGTTTGTAGACCTCATTGAGGCCTTGGAAATATTTTTTAGAAATACACGTTTGTAGACCTCATTGAGGCCTTGGATATATTTTTTAGAAATACACGTTTGTAGGCTTCACTGATGCATTGGAAATATTCTCTAAAAATCCACTATTACAAACCTTGCAAAAGCTTAAAAAATCCACGATAATAAACTTTACAAAAGCTTTGAAAATATTCTATAAAAATCCACGCTTATAAACCTTGCAAAGGCTTTGAAAAAAAATATTCTTTAAAATCCTCGCTTATAAACCTTGCAAAGGCTTTGAAAATGTTCTCTAAAAATCCACGACTCTAAGAATCCATTCTCTAAAAATCCACCACTCTTAAAAAAAAAATATTCTTAAAAATGCACTGTTAGAAGTGGAGTCCATGCTTAAGTACCTTTGAGGAACCTTAAAATTTGTAAACATCCATGATTAAAGAGCTTTTTAGGACCTTAAAAAAAGTGGTTGAAACCCTTTTTTAAAATCACAGTTTAGTAGATCTTTAAAATATTCTTTAAAAATCCACGCTTTAAAGCCCCTGAGAGCCTTGAAAATATTCCCTAAAAATCCACGCTTAAAATCCACTGAGAGCCTTGAAAATATTCTTTAAAAATCCACGCTTTAAAGCCCCTGAGAGCCTTGAAAATATTCCCTAAAAATCCACGCTTAAAATCCACTGAGAGCCTTGAAAATATTCGTAAAAAAATCCACGCTTAAAAAACTCATGAGGGCCTCGGTATAATTCTTTAGTAATCCACTCTGATAAAAAGACATGAGAGCCCTGAAAATGTTCCCAAAAATCCACGCTTCAAAAACTCTTGAGAGTCGCAGAATAATCCTTTAAAAAATCATGTTTAAAGATCTTATAAGGGTCTAAGAATAATTCTTTAAAAAAATGTATTGAGGTCACCTGAAACATTCTAAAAAATATTGTAGAAGCTCATAAGGGTCTCGAAAAAAATCTAAAAAAAATCCACCTTTACAAGGTAAAGAGGGTCTCAAGAAAAATAAAAAAATCCACCTTTGAGAGCTCAAGAGGATCTCGGAAATATTCTTTAAAAATCCACGCTGAGAAAAACTTATAAAGGCCCCCTTACAAAACTTATGAAGGCTTTGGAAATATTCTTAAAATTCACTCTTGAAAAGCTTTGGAAATATTCGATAAAAATCCACTGTTAGAAGGTCATGAAAACCCTTTAAAATCCCTCGTTTGCAAAGTTCATGGAAGCTTTGGAATTATCCTTTAAAATATATGCTTAGGGAGGTTATGAATTTATTTTTAAAAATTCACTGCAGACTTAGAGCTTTAAATACACACAGGGGGTCCCCATCTTCAAAAATCTACTACGCCCATAGGCCTTCAAATATTATGAATAAAAGCACGCTAAGGGAAGCCACAAAACCCTTCCAAATTAAAAAAAAACAAAACTTTAAGATTAGGACGCAATGAGGATCTCCAAAATATTCCTTAAAAATCCACGATTAGGCTCCTAAGATATGTCACCCTATCTTGAAATTATTCTGTCAAGCTTCGCAACCCTATTAAGGCTAACAAAATGAAAAGAATCGAGTTTAAGGACCCCATTAGGGCCATGGAGGCCTCCATAATTGTCCTTATCTTCAAAATAGACCTGGAAATATCTTTTAAAATATACGCTTAGGGAGGTTATGAATTTATTTTTAAAAATTCACTTGAGACTTAGAACTGTAAATCCACACTTGGGGTCCCCATCTTCAAAAAAGTACCTGAAATCCAAGTTCGTATGGAACTCAACAAGTCCGTAATAATAAAAGTTTATCGAGCTCATGATGATCTTATTAATGTTATCTATGGAGTTCATTTTGGAGTCCTCATGAGGGCCTTACAAATATTCTTTATAAAACTCATTGAATCCTTAAAAATATCCTTTAAAACCTCACACATACGATCTCTCACTGTCCTTAATTAAAAAAATTTAAATCCCTGAATATACAGTTCATTAAGACCATTGGATTATTTCCTATCCCCGTTTTACACTAGTTTTGCATATTTAAAGAAAAAATCTCTCCCTTAATGACAGTTCATCCCGACTAATCGAAAAAAAAAAAACAAAGATTTATTTTCCAATTGCCATTCTCCCTCACCATCTTACCCTATGCCATATTTACACCCCAACCCTCTCTTCAATAAGTACCTCTAAGTCAAGCATAAAATGTCAAAAGCACACATTAATCTTTATCCCCTATAACCATTTTTTTCTCGTTCTCCTCTGATTTGTTGTTCATTTTTTGTTCTCTTTTTCTTCTCTTGCTTTCATTACAGTTTAACAAATATATCATCAATGGAAGCCGTCAATGTGGCTGCCTCAGCAGATGAACACTATGATCTTTATGGTCAACTGGCTACAGCAGCGGCAGCTTCGGCAGCAACAGCATCATCAGCATCACAAAATACTACTAATCTCCAGCTACTACCTCAGTCGAATAAACGTTTACAAAAACTCAAAAAGCTTAAGATACGAGAGATACAATCCTTGGCATTAGAGGGTGGCGATACGGGACGGGGTTATTGCTCATGTGATGAACAATGGACTGGTTCGACGATATCATCGACCCCATCATCGCCAACATCACCGGCCAACTCGACATCGCCATTGCCATTAAATGCAGCAGCAACAACAATGGTCGCATCTGCATCTGGGTTAGGAAAAAGTGACACAGGCAAAAGCAACAACACCACGAATAGTGAAGCCCATGAAAAGACTTCCGTAACAGGAAGTGGAACAAATGAAACGACCAACGGATGTGACTATAATAGGACAAACAAACATCAGCCATTCAATGCTACAGCAGCATCATCATCAGTAAGCCTATCAAATCTACAGCCCCTCCATTCGTATCAGCAACAACTTCATCACCACCACCCCCACTCTCACCCACACCCGCACCACCACCATCATCATCATCCCGACGACGATGACGACCATCATCCGCTCTCACCACTGACAATATCCAGCGATTATGAAACGAAATCCAATGTAACGTCGACAGTGGATAAAGTTAATGAAACCAAGTTTATGGTGCCATCCTCATCAGCATCGCCATCCTCATCAGCATCGGCATCCACGAATGCAACAACAGCGTCAGGTAGCCTAAAAACCATAACGTTAAGGCGTAATCCTATTGGAACGAAGGCAACTGCAGCAGCAACATCCTCGTCATCATCATCGACAAGACTAAAACAACAGCACCATGTACGCTTTTCCGATGAGAAAAATTTCTCTGATTAAAATGAGGACATCGGCGTTAAAAGGGCCATACAAATTGGGGTTAATGGACGAGGGTGGTGTGGCGGACATTGATAAACAAAAAACTATTTTTTTAAAGCCACGATTGTGGAGGTTGAGAGAGCCTTGGAAATGCCCTCTTAAAATTTAGGTTTATGGAGCTTGGGAAAGGTCTGAATATACCCTTAAAAATTCAATTTTCTAGAACTCATGGGAGCTTTTGAGACGAACTTCATGGGTCCTCGTTAGTGGAGCTCCTCGAGACGTTTGTATCATTTTCTAAAAGTCCATGCTTAAGGACCTTTTTAGGACCTTTAAATATTATTTAGAAGTCTACGCTTAAGGAACTCTTTAGGACCTTTAAAACATGATTTAGGAGTACACGCTTAAGGAGCTTTTTAAGACCTTAAAAATATTATTTAAAAGTCTAAGCTTAAAGAACTTTTTTCACCTTTAAAATATTTTTCAAAAATCTGCGTTTAAGGAGTTTTTGTGGGCTTTTAAAATATTCTTTAAAATTCCAAGCTTAAGGAGGTTTTGAGGATCTTTAAAATATTCTTTAAAAACCACGTTTAAAACTCCGGAGAGCCTTGAAAATATTCTTAAAAAACCACGCTCATGAGAGCCTTGGAAATATTCCTTAAAAATCCAAGCTTAAAACCCCTGAGAGCCTTGAAAATATTTGTAAAAAATCCACGCTTAAATAACTAATCAGGGCCCCGAAATAATTCTTTAAAAATTCACTCTGTGAAAAACTCATGAGAATGTCTAGAAAATGTTCTCAAAAATTCACGCTTAAAAATCTCATGAGCGTCTCAGAATAATCCTTTAAATAAGTATGCTTAAAAATCTTATAAGGCTTCGGAATATTTTTTTAAAAATCAAAAAAAAATCCACCTTTACAAGCTCAAGAGGGTCTCGAAAAAATCTAAAAAATCCACCTTTACAAGCTCAAGAGGGTCTCGAAAAAATCTAAAAAATCCAACTTTAAGAGCTCCTGAGGATCTCGGAAATATTCTTTAAAAATCCGCGCTGAGAAAAACTCATAAAGGCCCTGAAAATTTTCTCTAAAATCCACGCTTAAAAAGGGGTCTCAGAATAGTTCTTTAAAAATTCATGCTTAAAAATCTTATGAGGGTCTAGAAATAATTCTTTAAAAATCCACATTTAAAAAGCTCATGAGGGTCTTAGAATATGTTTTTAAAAATCCACCTATAAAAATCTCATGAGCCTTTCGGCTTGAAGAATCTTCGTTTAGGTAACTTTTAAAAATAACTAAAAACTTTTTATGTCGCCTTGGAAAGCTCTGTAAGTCTTCTTTAATATTTATATAGCTTTTGAAGGCTCTAAAAGATTACTTAGAAGCTCTGGAAGTTGTTGTAAAACATCCTTGTTTATGAAACCCAAAAATCCTAGTTTTGTGAAACCCTCTGGAAATAATTCTCAAAAATTCGTTCTTTTTAAAGGACTGAAAATATTTTTGAAATGCCCATTGTTTAAAAGCTATATAAAAAATTCTCGTTTATGGGACCCACAAAGCTTTTGAAAATATTTATGAAAATTCATGTTTAAGGATTTTAAAAGCTCCGGAATTCCCTAAAAATCCTTATTTTTTGTAGCTCTTGAAATCTCTGGAATTTTAGTGAAGCTCTTGAAGCCTCTGAAAATTTCCTAAGAAGTTTCTCTGGAAATTTACTATAAAAATCTACATTTATGGGCCTTTTTTAAAAGCTCTGGAAATTGACTTTAAAATCCATGTTTATGGGTCTTTGAAAAGCTCTGGAAACTGACTTTAAAAATCCACGTTAACGGGTTTTTGAAAAGCTCTGGAAATTGACTTTAAAAATCCACGAAAAGCTCTTAAAATTTACTTTAAAAATCCTCGTTTATTGAGCTTTGAAAAACTCTGGAAATTTACTTCGAAAATCCACGTTAATGGGGCTTTTAAAGGCTCTGGAAATTTACCTATAAAACTCCACGTTTATGGGGTTTTTAAAAGCTTTGAAAATTTACCTATGAAACTCCACGTTTATGGGGTTTTTAAAAGCTCTGGAAATGTATTTCAATAATCCACGTTTATGGGGCTTTAAAAAGCTGTGGGAATTCACTTTAAAATCCATGTTTATGGGGCTATTTTAAAAGCTCTGGAAATTTACTTTAAAAATTCACGTTTATGGGGCTTTTGAAAGCTCTGGAAATTTACTTTGAAAACCCACGTCAATGAGGGTTTTGAAAGCTCTAGAAATTTACATTGAAACCCCACGTTTATGGGGCTTTTAAAAGCTCTGGAAATTTACTTTGGAAATTCACGTTTATGGGACTTTTTTAAAAGCTCTGGAAATTTACTTTAAAAATCCACATTTATAGAACTTTTGAAAGCTCTCTTTGAAAATTACTTTAAACATCCACATTTATGGGTCTATTGAAAGCTCTAGGAATTTACTTTAAAAATCTACTTTTTTGGGCCTTTTGAAAGCTTTTAAAAGCTCTGGAAATTTACTACTTTTAAAAGCATCAATTTTTTTTTTCTAGAAAAAATATTTCTTAGCTTTTGAAAATTCTGGAGCATTTATGCTGTCCTTGAAGGCTCGGAAATTTTCCTTAAAATCCCTGGAAATTCGCTTAAAAAATCACGTTTATGCGACTTTTTAACATATATTTATGGAGCTTTTGAAAGCTTTGAAAATATTCTTAAATTTGGCTTTTGAAAGCTTTATGTGCTTTTAAAAGCTCAGAAAAATCTTTAAAACCCTTGTTGGCTTTCGAAAGTTGTTAAAAATCCATTTTTAGGTGCCTTTCTAAAAATATTCCTAAAAATATATAATTGTGCTTTTTGAAAGCTCTAGAAATATTCTTAAAAAACAACTTCAAAAAACTTCAAATTCTAGCTTAAAAGCTTTAAAACATATATTCTTTAAAATCTAAGTTAATGGTACATTTAAAAGCTTAATGCGGCTTTTAAAAACTCAGGGAACAGTCTTTAAAACCCTAGTTAGATTTTTTTAATATTCGGTAAAATAGACGTTTATGATGCTTTCGAAAGTTGTTAAAAATCCATGTTTAGTTGCCTTTGTAGAAATATTCCTGAAAATCTATAATTGTTCTTTTTGAAAACTCTAGAAATATTCTTAAAAAATCAACTTCAAAAACTATTATTTTGAAAACTTTAGACATATTTTTTTCAAAATTCGAGCTTAAAAGCTTTAAAACATATATTCTTTAAAATCCAAGTTAATGTGGCATTTAAAAGCTTTATGCGGCTTTGAAAACCTCAGGGAATAGTCTTTTAACCCCTTGTTGGATTTTTTATTATTCAGTAAAATAAACGTTTATGATGCTTTCAAAAGTTGTTGAAAATCCATGTTTAGATGCCTTTGTGGAAATATTCCTGAAAATCTATAATTGTTCTTTTTGAAATTATTCGGTAAAATAGAAATTTATGATGCTTGGAAGCTGTTATACAAGTTTAGGTGCCTCTGAAATCCTGAAAATCTATAATTGTGGTTTTTGAAAGCTCTTGAAATATACTTCAAAAATCTGGTTCAAGAAACTATTAAAAACCTTCAAAATATTCTTAAAAACTTTTCGTTGTTGGGACTCTCGAAGGCTCCAAAAATATTACTATAATCCAAGTTTACAGGGTCCTTAAAGGCCCTGAAATTATTTTTTAAAACCTCGTTTAGGGATAGGTTTGAAGGCCCAGAACTAGTATTTAAAACTCTTCGTTCATAAACCGCTTAAAGCTTTCCTTAATCGATTAACTGAGCTTTCCAAATCTCTCATCCTTAAAACTGCCAAAAAAAATTATTTCCACTGACCTCAATTCACCTAGTTTTATAAAATGACAACAATTTATGAAAACTTTAATTAGTTCCTGTGATGTACAGTCACTCTCCTCCCCACCCTTTCTACCACAAACGTCCATAACCCCAGGCCAATACAAGAGAACATCACCTCCCCACCAAAAAGTCACCGCAAACAACTCTTAATGACATCTAATTATCTAGTTGCGAACACTATGGAACACCAACAACAACAACAATAGAAGTAGTAGTAATACCAAAAACAACAACACAACAAATTTTATACATATATATATACAGTGTCAAAAGCCGATTTGAAGAACACCCAA